CTGCAACAGCAGAACCGAGCACCTTACCCATTACACTATCTATTAGTAACTGCTAAAGCCGAACCAAGAATCTTAATCATTACACCATCACGTATTTATTATGCATTATTATAATGTATTATTATTCCTATTAATTTAATATTATTGCTATTATTTTATTATTATTATATTGTGAATTTATTAATTTAGATAAAATTCTCTAAGGAAGCTAACCGAAATGTTTGATTGGGTTTTATCAGCAGTTACCAGCCAATTAATTTAATTTTACTCATTAATGCTATTATTATTGAATTCTATAATAATTATTATTATTTATTAATTAATAATTAACTAATAATTATCTATAATTGTTTATAATTTGTTCAAAATTTTTCAGAGTTTTGGATAAAATAAATCTCTTCCAAACGATAACCAACGTGATGAACATACGATGATTTTAATTTGTACTAAAATTTATTTATTCAATTAATAAATTTAACTATTTTAAATAAACGAAATATTCGTGTTAAAGTTAATTTTGTATTCAACAAAAAAAAACTCGAAATAATCTGTAATCGATTTATCCGATATTCGAAATACCGAAACTTCGATATAACCGTTAGTATAGATACATATGGTTACGAAGAACGGCTTTAGATTGGAATAATGGTAATAAAAATTTAAAAAAAAGTGTTTAATTTAAACCAAACAACAATTTTGAAGTATTTCAGCCGCTATCACGAACTACAAAACCAATAATTTTCAAATGGTCCGCCTTTTTCACCGTTTTCCTACCATACACACACACTCACTCCCTCTCTCTTTCCTTCTCTCTCTCCTTCTCTCTTTCCCTCACTCCCCTTCTCTCTTTTTCCCCCCTCTCTCTTCTGTATCTCTTTTTTCTCCCTGTTATTCCTATCTCTCGCTTTTAACTTTTTCTTTATCTCTTTCTTTTACTCCGTTTCTTCCTTGCTTTTCACACTTTATTTCTTTTTTTACTTCTTTCATTCTCTCTCTTTCTTTCATTCTCTCTCTCTCTTATATATATATATATATATATATATATATATATATATAAAATTTATTGGCAAAAACTGATGAAACCATAAATCTGAGGTTAACATTAACAAAATTGACAAGCAAGAATGTAACTAATGGTGAAAAAAGAAATATACAAGCATACATACATACATACCTGCATACATACATACATACATACATACATACATACATACATACATACATACATACATACACACACACACACATACATACGTAGAAAAACATACATGCAAACGTTCATACATACGCATACATACAAATGCAACATACAATACTAAAAATAGAATGGTTGATGAAAACATATGATATTATGGACGCAACCTCGTTTCCCATTGGCAGAGCTACTCTGCTTACGTCACGGGTGGGAGGAGTCAACTTTCATGACGTCAGTGGAAAAAGGCACAAAATAGCGCATTCTGTATATTTACCTATATATACATATTCAAATATATACAAAGAGATATATGGTTAAAGATATGGTACAATATAAATTATCAATATTTATAGGTTAATCTATAACTGACTGTTACTAATAATATATATATATATATATATATATATATATATATCAGTTAAACATACGTATATATATATGTATGTATGTATGTATATGTATGCAATGTATTGCTCATCAATTGGTTTTTTATTTAAAAATTCTAAAAACAGTATCAGAGATTCTGAAGATGAATGGGAAAGATACAAATTTATTCAAGCATACAAACAAACAGTACAAACAAACATATAAACAAACATACGAACAAACATACAAACAAACATACGTACGTAAGGACGAACAAACAAACATACAATTAAACAAACAAACATACAATTAAACAAACATACAAAAACGCACGAACAATAAAACGAAAACTTCAGTAGAAAACATTTCAACTAACACATTTTCACACCGCAAAATGTGTCACAATTATAAAAAAAATATAGAAGCACACACACACACGCATTCACACACACACATACATACACAAACACACACAAACACAAACAAACTTCAATTCTCTAAAAATAGAATGGTATATTGGCGAGAAGCATGTATGAGTAACAACGAGTGAAAAAGTATTTTATTTATTCCTAGGCTCCTTCTTAAATTAAGGTTATTTTAAACCTTTTCTGTTGTCATTATTATTATTATTATTGTTGTTGTTATTATTTTTAATTTATTCCGGGACGTTAATAAATCGAACGCAGTTCATTTCAAAGACACCCATGAACTATTTTTGTCGAATTCGAGAAAAAGTCGAAAAGTTAAGAAGAGAGAGAGAGAGAGAGAGAGAGAGAAAGAAAGAGAGAGAGCAAGGAGAAAGAGAGAGAGAGGGGAGGAGAGAAAAAGAACTAGAAAAAAGTAAAAGAAAAAATAAAATTATGAGAGAGTGGATGCTAAAAATAAACTAAGCTCAAACAAAAAATGAGTCAAAATATTAAGGAGAGAGAGATAAAGAGAAAGATAGAGAAGGAAAGAGAGAGAGAGAGAGAGAGAGAGAGAGAGAAAGAGAGGAGATAAACGAAAAAAAAATGTTTTCCTTTTATTTAACCAGTTCCTTGGCACTTAAGACATGTCGTCTATTGTAAAAATTCGTCAATGCCATCAATAATAATATTACACTCACCAACCAACCGACCGACCAACCAACCAACCAGCCAACCAGCCAACCAACCATCATCTTCATCCTCATTTATCACATCCTCATCATCAACATCAATTTAGTTTCGTCATCATCTTCTTCTACTTCATTAGTCTCGTTATTATATTCACCAATAACACTTAGACGTTATCTTAGTCATCATCATTATTTTCATCATCAATGAGTTATTTAAAAGCAACACATCATATATATATATATATATATATATATATATATTGATAATAAAGTTTTATATATATATATATATATATATATGTGTGTGCGTGTGTGTTTGTTTATGAAGCATGGCATATTTATGTCAGTGATGTATATAAATGTTCAACAAAACAAACAAACAAACAAACAAAAATTAGCATTAGATTCTTCTTTTGCTCCTTCTTCCTACTTTCACTTCCTATCTCTCTCTCTCTCTCTCTCTCTATTCAAAATTGTTGAATTATTAATATAAATAAAATTAAACCGAAACTTTAAAACAGTTATTTTCATTGTTATTATTAATTATTATTATTATTAATTATTAGTAGTTGTCGTCGCATTTTTTCTCAATATTCCTATTTAAGAGAAAATGCCCGTTTAGAGATTATGCACATGAAAATGATGATTTTGTAAAATTGCCACACACACACACACACACACACACACACACACACACACACACACACATGTGTGTGTGTATGTGCAACATCATATCATAAACGAAATGAAGAATATCTCAACTTTTAATTCAAACAGCTGACAATGTGTACCATTAAACGTGCTACATAGATCAAACTGCTCAGAATGAATTAAACATTGATCGTTCGTAGAGAACGCATTAGGCATGGGTAGGATTGGCTGTGATACCTTTGCGTTCAAACCCAGAAAATGTAACTACAAAGCCGAACATTTTACCGCTAGGCTATCAAGACGTATCGTTGTGAGACGAGATGGCAATAACACTGATGATGACGACGACGATGATGATAAAAGTTATGATGATAACAATGACGAAACACAACAATGATAAATGATAATAAGCAATTGAAAACAATGCTGATAATGGTGATGATGATGATGATGACAACAATGATGATGATGATTAAGTGATGATGATTAAGTGATGACGACGATAAACTTTTTCTCTTAAGGTCACTGTATCAATGAAAAGCAAGTTGGAACGAGTAAGATATCTCTTCTTTCATAGTGATAAAAATTATTACACGTTCATAAGCGTCTGTATTCAATCAATCAATCAATCAATCAATCAATCAATCAATCAATTATGCAAAAAACTAATTAACCACATATACATTATACATACATCAAAAAAATTGAAAAATATCTTCAAAAATGAAAAAAAAAACAGAGCACAACAAGCAATATATTCAATCAATCACCCATTCATTCGTTAATTACTCGTTCACTCGTTTATTCATTCATTCATCCATTCATCCATCCATTCATTCATTTATTTACAAGATGAAAAATGTTTACAGTTCACTTTACTTCATAATTTTAAATAAATAGATGAATAAATTTAATTAATTATAAAATAATAATAGCATAAAAATAGGAATAATAATAACAAAAAGAATAAAAATAACATAGAAAAATAACCATAACTAATATAAAAAAAACTCATAACAACATTTTAGAGCATATTTATGCACTTACAACAAACAAAAGCCAACAATTCGGTAGAATTCATACAATACCGTATATATATACATATATATATAATGCATGCATAATATATATATATATACATAATATAAGTATAGAGAATATATGTGTGTGTATTAATGTATGTACGTACCTATATAGGTGTAACTAAATGCAGGCTTGTTTGTATGTAGGTATGTATGTTTGTAGGTATGTATGTATGTATGTATGTATGTTATGTATGTACGTATGTATATTTGTATGTATGTATGCATGTATTTACAATCGCCCTCAAAAATATTGGATGTAGGTTGGCTTGGGGAGGTGCCTGAAGTTCGGACTTTCGAGGAACTCGACGATCAGTTTGCTGTGCACGGCATCACACTCGTGAAGAAGTCGCAGGCAGCTGATTATCTCAGGCAAGTGACGCAAGCATCTGGGATTTTTATCTGCATGTGCGTGTGTGTGTATGTATGTGTATATATGTGTGTGTGCGTGTGAGTGTGTTGTGCGTTCGAGTTGGGTTTTAAACATTTATGAAACGTTTATGAGGTTTTGCGTATGCGCGTGTGTGAAAGATTTGTGTGTCTGTGTATGTGTATGGGAGATTTATGCTCAAAAGTGTGTGTGTGCGTGTGTGTGCGCGTGTGATTTTGTCTACATGTGAATCATTCGTTTACTTTGGATGAACCAGGCCAGAGCATCTAGAAACAGCTCTTTGTACTCATAGTAGTTACCTGGCGAATGAATGAATAAATAAATGAATGAACGAATAAATAAATGAATGAACGAATAAATAAATGAATTAATGAACGAATGAATGAACGAATGAGTGAATGAACGGATGAGTGAATGAACAAATGAGTGAGGGATAAATTTAATGAATGAATGAGTGAGGGGTAAATTTAATGAATGCATGAATGAATGATCGATAAAAATATTAAAAAAAAAACTTTTGTCAAAGAGGAAAATGGCGCAGAGAAAGGCCATTTCGACTTGGTCAACTTTCAGTGCGTGGACCTTCTTGCCCATCTCTAGGACCATCTGATTGGCTATTCTCCACGGCGGCAGCACGGCCCATGTGATCTGCGTACGTGTGCGTAGCGATACGATACGATGCTGCTGCGTGTTAAGATACGACACTGCAATACAACGTAACGTAACAAAACACAAAACGAGACGAAACGACACATTACAAATGAACTTTACAATACGATAGGATAAAATACCAACCAAACATCATAAGGTATACAACATATTTCGATACCAAAATACTATACGATTCGATTCATATAATTTTATAGAATAAATAATAATTAATAGATTGCACCCCAGACTAGATTTACATAAGCACACAATCGCCCAGTTTTATATAGGTACTTGTATGCTGTAAATAAATAAGCAGACGACGTACATTTCATTGCTTTGAGGTGCTTCTTATTCAGAAGAGTTTTACAAACACACACACACAAACACACGCGCGCGCACACACACACACATATATATTAATTATTTAATTACTATTACACACGCACACAGATACATGCATACACATACAAACACACACATATAGACTAACAAAAATCAAAAAAATATTAAATTTATCCAACATTTTATCATCAGCCGCAGATAAATAATTGATGTAAACTAATTTAATCTAAGGTTTCTTGAATGCCATAATTTTCAAACTAATTAATCGAACACTGATATAGATCAAATCTATAATAATGTCAAGTAAGTATTGATTCAACACACACACACACACACACACACACACACACACACACACACACACACACACACACACAAACGCACGCGCACACACACGTACACTCACACACACGTATAAAATGAAAAAACTAAATAAAATAAAATACAGCTATTAAAAAAAATATTTTTATTACGGTCATAATGAAATAGTAATTAAATAATTAATAAGGTACCAAAAGGTCCCTTTGAGAAAGATGGAACCATTTGATATTATTCTTAGATGGATTGTAGGCTAGGGCAGAGAGAGATGAAACGAATGGAAAGAGACTGGTGCCTAAAATTATACATTATTATTATTATAATATTAATATTATAATTCATTATAATTATGTGATGACGTAATGATGACAGACGACATTGACCATGTTCACAATTAAGTGGTCAGAAAATGTTTGATGATGATGAATGTGATAGAAAGAGAGAGAGAAAGAGAGAGAGAGAGAGAAAGAGAGAGTTTTTTTTACCTATGACTTC